TTTATTTGTTTATAGTTTGTATTAGTTTTATCTGTAGATATAATTCAATAAAATTATTTTTTAAAAGTACTTAGATTGCATTTCTAGTGACTATCAAATCTTCTAGTTTAATTCTTTATTGTGATACTTTAATGTACAGTTTATCCAGACATAAAAGACTATTGCAACTATTATCTACTAAAGTTTTAAAAAAGAAAAGCAGTAAACAACTGGCCTATGAATCTGGAAGAAAAACAGTTTTTGCTTTGGGGAATGCAGAGGCTTTTGTAACACCTCAGGAGTCTAGTTAAACATTGCAGTGGTCTTTGCCAGCCATTTGCACATTATCTTGAGGATCTACATCATTACTTTAAATTAGATTCACTTAATTAGCCAGCTGGTACTCTTATTGTCAAACTGATAAACAAGCTGTGCTTCACAGTTCTATAATAGTGTGACCAAAACAGCAAAGAAAAAATTAAACAGCTAAAATGGAATATATGTATTAAATCAAATATCTTTATTACGGTCTTTGTCCAGCCTTTACAGCAGAAAAAGAGAAATAGTTTAATACAGTAATTCATTATCAGGGAGAAAAAGAAAACAATAAAACAACATACAGTATTTAATTAAAAACTTTGTACAATTGTTGGACTTGGGTCAGATATCTGGCTATGATATGTCAGAATAGAGGTAACATACTTAGAAAGTAATAAACATAAAATTTATCAGTATGACTCTCAAATTTATTATTAGATAGATCAAAGCATCATTCAGCCATCATTCAAAGGGCATCATATGAAGACATGGGCAAAAGCTTCTGTTTCCCTAAATCCATAAGTGCAAACTGTACAAATAAGGGATTTCATTTGGTGATAGAATTCAAGAGCACTGGTTATATCATTTTAGTGATCAATCCCTAATTCTCTCTTTTACTATTGATTTGGCTTTCTCCAGAGCAAGAGCAAGACTGTAAAGTTACTCTATACAAATAATATGCCAATCAGATTGGTAGTTGTCTAAAACAGCAGAGGAATCAAACCTATAGGGTCAGACATCATTCTGAGCTCTGAAATTGGAATCCTAAGTATTAAAGGCCCCAGTCTGGAACAGAATATTAGCTTCAAGCCTAAAGACTGTGTTATGGGCTCAATTTTGAGGTACAAAACAAAGTCCTAAGGAAATTTAATTGAATGTTTCATAATCCTTTAGGTTTATGCTGTATATGGGTCAATAATAATAATTGGGTATTTTCTTCTTTCTCATCCTATGTTTTTGCAGAGTTGTAGGGTCCCCCTTTGAATCAATGAATGCCAGAAACCACATCCAACTGTATACTTTTCATGTCCATATTGTGTCTTGACATCTTTGCTTTGTTCTTCCATGTAGGCATTTGCCATTGATGTTAAAGTATAAGGGGTGCAGGCAATGTGGTGGGGTGCTGCTCATAGAACATGGCCATAGCACTGTACTGTAGGAGTTTTCCCACATTTTCTATATTATTAGTGCAACTTCCATCGGTTCTCACCCGAGTCATGCTGGCAAGGCAGAGGTTAAGTAGAGTCTGTTTACTGCACATTTAACATAGCACTAAACAACCCACCAATGGTGGTATGAAGCTCCACCCTAACTCTCAGTTTTCTCTCAAACCGAATTCCCCGGTTCTGTTAACTAGGTCCTAGCTGGCCCACAAGGCAAAGAGGGAAGTCACAATACCCACAAATACAAAGTCCACAGCACACATCCAGGGTTCCAAAAACCACAGCACAGTCCAAGAGTCTGAAGTCAGAGAGCCAAATCCAAAGTCCACAAAGTCTGAAGTTCAGAGCCAAGAAACATGATCCAAGATTCATGAAATTCACTAAAGCCAGAAAGATATACCTCCTAGCAAACAGATGTTTCTGACAAATGCACTTTCTCCCAGCATCCAGCTAAATCACCCCATCCCAAGTGTTTCTGGTGAGGAGGAACAGGGCTGTCTCTTTGCAAACAACTTTGCCAACCTTCTCTGTATCTCCTTCCACTCCACTCTCAACTTTCTTAAATTCTTTCTTAGACTAACAAAGGTAATATATCATTCTCAAACTGAAGAGTTGTTTTACAATTTAAACACAAAAGTTGGAAGCTGAAGATCTAACACTCCTTCAGGTCTGTCAACTTTGAGACTAGAATATGCATGATGTAACAGAAAAAAGTAATTGGGATTTAAAAAACCCATAACATCCATGTACCCTAAAAAAAATGAAGTGCGGCAGAGATCTAAGAAAATTAGGGTCTGCTTGTTTTAGAGTCCATCCAGTTGTGTTCCAAAGGAGGGTGAATAGATTGTAGCAGGATGTAATTGCCACTTTGCTGGTTTTCTTGAAGCTGCTTTGTCTGGATAATTGTGCAGAAGGAACAACACTTGGGTTGAACAAATTGGTGACTGGGGAAGAAGATAGAGAGCAGACCCCTTGTTACCATTTAGGTGGATATTGTATTGAGTCTGGAATAATTCCATAGGAGAAGTATAACGGGCAGACAAATGAGGCCAGAATGGGGATCAGAGGCAAAAGGTAGACATACATCAAAATTCCTATGGAGATAACATATTAATTTTATTACTCCTCCATTTGAAATCCAGTCAATCCACAGGTGGCATAGTGTTTTGGTTTTGGCTCCGTTGGCTCATTCTTCAAGGTCTCTCTCGCTTTCGTTTCCTTCTAGCTCTAAGCACCAATTATCATCCCAATAAGAGAGATGCATTCCTTCTCCTGGGGGAAGGGCACAGCAGCAAGACAGTGAAAGGCATCCCAGAGCATCCCCCCTCCCAATAGAATGGCAGTCCCCAAAGAATGGTTACAAAGGCAAGCAAAGCATAGAAAGAAAAAAGAATGCATTTCTTTGGACTCTGACAATACATTTTCATAGAAATAACAAGTTGTAGACAGGGCAGCCATTGGATAAATAGAATCAGAATCCATAGAGGGGGAATGAGTGGGGATGAAACCAGTCTGTTTTTTAGAGACCAGTTTTAGAGATTTTGATCTCTAGACTGATCATCTGGAAGATTATAGAAGGAATGTGTTACATTGATCAATTTGATGTTCTCTTCATTTGTCTGAATTAACTTTGAGCAGGAGCACCTTCTTTTTAAGGGTGCTAAGCACTCAGACAATGAACTTGTCAACATTTCAACAGGAGGACAGTTAGAGGGCAGTAAACTGTTGAGGGATTGATTTGACTGCCTCAGGTTTGTGTATAATTATTTTTTGTTCTTCTGTAGAAAGAGTGCCAAACAACTGAGCTAGTTTCCCTCATCCTCCATAGGATTGACTGATGTCTGTATCTTCCCTTTAATTAAATTGAGGGTGTTATGCCTCCTATGCTTATCTGGTCCTGACCTTGGATTTGGTGGAGCACTCTGCTGTGCAGATAGTTGCTGGCAGATATTATGAACTCTGGGGCTTATGCCATCCTTCCTCGCAAGCTTGGCTCTCCTCCCAGAATTTAGCAGAGAGTGTACATTGCTATTGTGAAACACTCATATAGGCATAATTTGACATCCCTTGGAAAATGGCTAAGTTTAAAAAGCATTGAAGGGCATGCAAAATGCCTAAGAGACAATATTATTCTTTCAAATCCATGTCATCTGGGAAACCATGAGATTTCTGTAAGTTTGCTGGGATATGTTCTACAGTGAAGAAATTGTGATAGGAGCTGTAGTTCTGTTCTCTGTTGTGCCATTTACCCTCATTAGGAGTATTAATTGCAATCTGGAACAGTCACTACAAAAGTAGTTTACCCAAAGGGATATTGGGAAATATATGGATTTTGAATAAGGTCTCGAGCAACTGAGTTGGTGGATGACTCCATTTACTTATATACTTTTCTATTATAGCCTTCATCTATTTTCTGATTGGTATCTAGCAGCTAAAGGAAAATTGCAATAACCATTTTAGCAGTTAAAAAGCAATTTTTGGAAATGAAGTCCACGTGCACATTTAAATTACTAGTGGTTTTAAAAGTGTTCTTCCTATATCTATCTCAGAAATCTCATTGGAGGAAGGGAAATCATCTATTTCTCAATTAAATAGAGCATAGGTTTCATTACCAGACACTGAGAAGAAAAGGGGAGATGAGACTTACATGCTGTGTCTTTAATGTTGGAACAAATCCTTTAGTTTTAGCTGCCTGGAAGGTTCTGGCCTTTACAGTATTCAGAATACTTGAAATATTCTCTACATCTCAGGCTTCTTCCCTTTGGTCTTTCCATTTGTGTTCTTTTTTGTTCCTGTCTTATAGCCATTGCTGGCTCCCACATTGGCAGGTGTCCAAAGTATTGGATTTGAAACTAAAATATCAATTAATCTGAATTCTAAAGTTCTAAAATTACTGATCCCAGTGCAGGGTACTAAGATTACTAATTGACATTAAATTACTAAGTAAACTATTTTAAAACTAAATAAAAGAGTAACTAAAATAGAAGAGTTATGATATCACGAACAATGCTTTCACTCTGTGACCATGTTGATCTGCTCCCTCAACCATCATTCAAAATATCTATATGCTTGTGTATGTATTGTGTGTAATTCTGCATTAATTAGGGTTAGGGTTAGGACTAATTTATGTGATTGCATAATGAAAACATTAAAAATTATTCTATTTATTTTTTCTTAAAACGAAATGCATATATTCAGGAATTTTATTTATTTAGTTTTTTTAATCTTAATTGCACAAAAAAAGAAATTTCCCTAAATTTGGAAGCATTACAATATACTAAAAGGATAAATAAATAGTTGAGCTTCTTAATATATCTGCTTGGCATAAATTTAATAAAGTACACAGTGAACATGTATCCATGTCTTGTTCAAATAATAAGCAAACATTTTTAAACAAAAGTAATCTGGCTTCAAATTAATTGCCAGTTGTCTAATATTTTAAGTATTGACAAATATTTTTATTTACTTTTCACCAGACGTATTGCAATATTTACTCTATTTAAATTAATATCTATTTTCTTAATTCTTCATAATCTTTAGGCTGTAAGTACAGATCCAGTTCCAGTGAAACTACATTATGATAAATCACATGATCAAGTATGGGTGCTTAGTTGGGGAAGCTTTGATAAGGATTCTCCTACACTACAAGTAAGTATATGCATTTTTATATTAAATATAGATATGTGTGCTGACTAGAAAATACATTCTTTGACAGAGGCTCAAGCTCTTATTCACACAGAAAACTGTCAGAAAGATAGTTATAAATATATGAGCACTTAATGTATGGGAAGTTAGCAATGACATAGTAATAGAAGAACTTTGTTAGTTTATTAATATAAGAAAAATAGGAAAGCAAAGTTCCAAACCAAACCAAACTGATCTAGCTAAACCTCAGGAACAAATAGGTAGCTGTACCTGAATTGTCCAGCTGTCAACTATTCATAAGGGCATATAACATCCTACATAAAGGCCTCAATTATAACAGAGAATGCCAATTAGAATTCTTCACATCCTTATGTGCAGCATGTAAAACTAAAGGATTTATTTCAGAGACCCAAGAAAACAAGGGCAGTCATACCATGACAACTGTATCACAGATCAGAAGACCACAGAATCAGAATTAACTGAAAGCAGATGATAGAGCAGGCTTCAAAAACCTAAAAAAGCACCAAACCATCATTATCCTCTTAACAGACAAGGATTGTATCAAAGTTACTTTTCTTCCAGTAAAAGAATTAGTGAAAGACAATGAAACCTAAATCCCTGTAACAGATATGGTATGTAGATGACACCTTTGTCTTTGTATTACACAATCAATTATTTCATCAAAAATTAAACCACTTAAGAATTTAAATTATAATGATATCATTTGGGTTAAAAAGGTCACAATAATGTAAACATGGCAATAATAAAGTATTTCCCAATATGCTGTCCTGTAGATGTATTTGGCTTATCTCTTTAAAAGCTAACTTTATTTCTGAAAATTTAACACTGAAATGATGACTTAAGAGATGTACAATATGTTTTCCAGGTGATAACCCAGGCCAGTGGAAGTATTTCTCATCACACGATTCACACTCAACCAGTGGGGAAACAGTTTGACAGAGTGGATGACTTTTTCATTCCATCTGCAACTCTCCTTATTACCCACATAAGGTAGGGGGTGAACTATAATATGGTTGAGGTTGGGTGTCAGATATTGAATCAGACATTCTATTTTTATTTATTTTCTTAATAAGTCATCCTTCCTGCAAGGAGAATAAAGTCTGTCACATTTATTTTCATGACAACATTAAGAATATTATCAGGCTGAGGGTCATACTATGAGCTTCATGGCTGATCAAATCAATCTCAAGCCAGCACAATTTATTTTATGCTATACCCATGGGTATTTGAATCAATATAAATGTCACTTTTACATAAAACTGTTATTGTTCTCAGTAGATTTGTCCCAGAAATTCTGGGTTTCTCTTTTAAAGCATTTCTATAATGCAATCTTACCAAACTCTCATCCTATGCTTGCTAGGAATTTACTCCAACATAAGATGATTTTTAGTTTACAAGTAGCCTCTTCCATTCAATGTTAACATCTTTGTATGTTATCTCTAGTCCTGGAGCTAATATTTCTCCTACTGTAACAGGACTTGTATAAAAACGGTATTTTAATTAATGCATTGTTCAGACTTTAAGATGTTGTGAAATAGAATGATGGACACAATGGGACTTCTCCTAATCTATATATCTTTGTGCATTCTGATGAAATGTAATAACTATATTGTTCTCTATAACTCATTAATAAATTTTAAGAAAATATAAAAACATAAATTTCAATCCTTCTGCTTCTAGTGAATGGATTCACTGTTTGTCATATTTTTCTATGTATTTGTTTATATTGCAAAAAGTATATGAGCAGTATCTACAGCTACCATATGAGAACTTGGAAAAGGCAGACAAATTTGAAAAAGTTATAATAAAAATGTTTAATTGTTTATGTTTATAACTTTGCTTTATAAAGAAAAATTCAAGAACAAAAACAAAAAAAGCTTAACAAAAATTCTAGTAAATATCTAAAATCAAATCTAAAATCAAATAGTACATATAAATTTATTTTAAATTTATTTCCATATTTTTCACCTGAATGTGAAAGAGTACAGGTAGTTCTCAACTTACTGCAATTGAGGCTGCAATTTCTGATGTTAAGTAAGGCTGTTTAAGTGAATAGAATAGAATAGAATAGAATAGAATAGAATAGAATAGAATAGAATAGAATAGAATAGAATAGAATAGAATAGAATAGAATAGACCTTGGAGGTCTTCTAGTCCAGCCCCCTGCTTAAGCAGAAGAACCTATACCATCTTAGACTGGTGAATGTCCAGTCTCCTCTTGAAAATCTCCAGTGATGGAGCGTCCACGATCTCTGGGAGTAAGCTGTTCCACTGGTTGATTGTCCTCACTGTCAGGAAGTTTCTCCTTAATTCCAGATTGCTTTCAGGTTGATCAGTTTCCAACCATTGTTTCTTGTCCTTCCCTCTGGTGCTTTGGTGAACAACATGGCCCCTTCTTCTTTGTGGCAGCCCCTCAGATATTGGAATACTGCTATCATGTCTCCCCTATTTCTTCTTTTCTTTAGACTAGTCAAACCCAAGTCCTGCAGCCGTTTTTCATATGTTTTAGTCTCCAGGCCTTGGATCATCTTAGTTGCTCTTCTCTGAATTTTTTCCAAACTCTCAACATCTTTTTTGTAATGTGGTGACCAAAACTGGATGCAGTATTCCTGATGTAGTCTTACTAGGGTTTTATAAAGCAGTAATAATACTTCATGTGATCTTGATTCTATGCCTCTGTTTATACAATCCAGGATTGTATAAACTTTTTTGGCTGCTGCTGCATACTGCTGGCTCATAGTCAAGTGATCGTCCACTAGGACTCCAAGGTCCCTCTCACAGTTGCTGTTTTTAAGCCAGGCCTTGCCCAATCTGTATTTGCTCCTTTGGTTTTTCCTGCCTAAATGTAAGTGAGTCGGTCTCAATTTCATGATCTTTTTTGCCATGGTTGTTTGGTGAATCACTGCAGTTGCTAAATTAATCATGTGATTGTTAAGCAAATCTGTCTTCACCAATTGACTTTGATTATTAGAAACTGTCAGGAAGGTTGCAAGTGGCAATCACATGACTCCTGGACACTGCAACCATCCTAAATACATGCTGGTTGCCAAGCACCCAAATGTTTATCAAGTGACCATGGGGATGCTGCAAGGTCATAAAAGAGAAGACTGGTTGTAATTCACTTTTTCAGTGGCCTTGTAACTTTGATTAGTTGCTAAATGAACAGTTGTAAATTGAGGAAAACCTGTATGTACTACCATTTGTAGTAAAAGTTATAAATAAGCAAAACAAAAAGTGAGGTTTTTTTTAAAAAAAAAAATAAACCTAATGAATAGCTTACTTGAAAGAAAAAATGGTCCTTTATAATAAAGGATGGCTATATGTTGATGGAAGATCATATGAATCAACTAAGACACAGGTGTCAAACTCAATCGCGTCACGTAACGTATCATGATGTATTGCGATGTTTTTTGCCTTTGTGGAGCCAGACTGGGTATGGCCTGCATGTGACGCATCTGGCCCATGGGCCACCAGTTTGACACTCCTGAACTAAGACATTAGAAGCAATATTTATTGTGACATAAAATAATGAAATATTGTTCAGCGATTTATATTTTCAACACTCTTACCTCTGATTTTTTTCTGACCTTTTACTCATATCTATGAATTGGAATATATGTATGTTAGCATAGTACTTGTTTCAGTTTATAGGTATGGGTTTAAATTATTTACCACTAACAATACAGTGGACATTTATACCCTTGTTTGAAATAGTAATAGAATTAGCACTTAGACTTATATAGCAATAGCACTTAGAATTATATAGTGCTTTACAGCATTCTCTGAGCGGTTTACAGTGTTTACAGTGTCAGCATATTGGCCCCAACCATCTGGCTCCTCATTTTACTAACCTTGGAAGGCTAAGTCAGGCTTGAGTTTTGTCAGGATGAAATTCCAGGCTGTGGGCAGAGTTAGCCAACAATACTGCACTCTAAACCACTGTGCTATCAAGGCTTGAAAGGTGTGACAACCTAAACAACATAATTTTTTTTTAAAAAAGGCTGTGTGCCAATCCTATTTCATATAATACAATCTATGTTTTCTTTAGCATATTTTCACATACTCAAGGCCATTATACTCATTAAACTTTAAGCCATCTTTGAACACTGTGTTTGATGTTGCTGAATTCAGTTAGGAAGGGAATATTTCCTTCCTCTCACAAACATTTCATCCAAAGCTCAGTAATAGTTACCATATAAAAAGAGACAGCCAGGGCTAAATATCTGTTATTTCACATGCTGCATTGCCACTTGAAGATCAATTACTTTGTAGTCCAAGCAGAGACACAGTACAGAATGGCTTGAGGTAAAAACCATTATAGAAAACAAGCATGTTGTTTTAATTTTTTCTCCCTGATGCTTTATTATTGTTGTAGACAAGATTTTATTTGCACAATTAGATATAGGAAGAAAAAATGTAGGCATGAAAGTGAATGAAAAAAAGATGAACCACTATCTCCAAAGGAAACAAAATAACTATCCTTTTAACTAAAGGATATTAAAGCTGCAATACCATATAAATTTGGATTTTCAAATGTGGTATAACCTACTGCTGAATAGAACTGAATTGATTTTTATTGTAAATTGCTTTCTACCTTAATACTTCTTGAGTACTCTGTTCCATTTGAATTAGGGGCTATTGTGTTCATGCTAGACTTTTTAGTATATTTCGTTTGTACTGAAGATGACCATTCTTTTAGTCAAGTTTTATTATTTTAAGGTGTGATAATTTTGAATTCTTGATTAAATGACTCAATGATCAATTCCAGATTGTTTTGCTTGCAAAATAAGGCCTACGAATAGTAGTATGAAAATCACCTTCCTCCTAAGCTCCAGTAAAAAGAACCAACCTAAAATAAGATTTTATCTTCTGAATTTACAATCCTTTGTAGGCCTATAGATACTTCTATGTTTTTATTAATGTTCTTATGCTTAGAATACTATTACTTAAATAAATATGTCCCTAATTACCAAACTATAGAAAAGTGTATGGTTCTTGCTTTGCCTTTCGCAATTCAGCCCTAACATATTTCTGGTTTTTGCAGTCATTTTGAATATGCCAAATTTTAAAAATTATCTTTCTAAAATGAATTCAAATAAAAAAGTATAGATAATTCTAACAGGAGCATATTGTCTTTGATCTCCATTTTTACAGAAAATAATTCAACTTCTGGTGCATACTTGAATATCATATTAAATTGCTTATAGGTCAAAACTAAATATAGTTAAACAATGAACTTGTATTTTTATACAGTTAAAATTTCCATTTATACATTAATTAGGAAAGTCCAGTTTCACAAATTATAACTTGGTTTAAGCGTTTTTACTGATGGTTTAAATAAATATGAACAATTTGTATAATATTAATATGGCCACCATCCCAGAAGAAGTGACCCTGGGTGGCACATAGTAAAAAAAGTATAAAACAATAAATACATCAAAAAACCCTTGTATTTTAAAAGTTTTTTAAAAGAATGCCCCAAAAGAACTGAATTAATTATAAGTGATATAAGACATCAAAACTATCTAATTGCTGTTCATTATGAAAATTATGAAAACAAAATTCAAATCTTTACTAAAACTAAACTTGAAAATAAAATATAGAAGCTTCATAGCAACACATAAATTATTGATTTTGAAAGTATGGAAATAACATGGAAATACTTGAGGGATATTAAATGTATCACTGACATTTTGAAATGTAGTCTTTTTTTTTCTGTAAAGTCAGCTTCTCAATTGCCATTTTGATAAACAAGAGGGGCATCACCCAGGTCTAAAATTCAGCTTTTCTGACACATCCAGAGACTTTATTAAGAAACATTTCACTTTTCCATATATAAAAACATAAAACCAGTATTTTTCTATGGCTCTGTTCCTCTTTCCCCATCACCATGAGATAAAAAAGACAAGAAGCAAAATTGTCCCCATTTCAAGATATGTCTGTTCGTCATAAAAAGCAGAGTAAAGATGATGCAGGTTAAAGAGCATCAT